AGAAGGAGAGTATTTCAGGTTTGTGGAATGACTGTGTGGTCATTGAGGCAGAAGCCAGGTGGATAAATGAAAGGTGACCCCAGGATGGCTTGGCTGGATGAACTCTGACCAAAAATTAGGGGTGATGGGATAGGTAGGTGCAGAGATTTGGGCCCAAGTTTCCTACATATATGATATAAATTTTCCGTATTACCTTAGGGGTCAGCTAGCACAGGAAACCAGTCATTAGATCCAGGAAAGACCCAGGAGAAGGGAGAGGACAGACCTCAGAGTGTGTCCCCTTGGAAAAAGAAGGCTTCCCAGAAACCCACCAACTTGCCCTTATTGCTCCATGGGGCAACAGTCACACCATTCTCAACCTCTCGAATATTCCAGAAGAATCTCTATTCCAGAGGTAAAAGTTGTGAAGGAAAAAGTATTAAATAAAAGTGTAAATGCTTTGGACACGAGGAAGCTACAGGACCACGTTGGTGAACAAAGGCTATTTTTATAATTAAGCTAGTTGGTCAATGTTCCCTGACTCTAAAGACCCTGACGGAGATTGAGAGGCAACTATCTCCTAAGTCTTAACTGCAAAGTGGCTGAGTGTTTTCTTAGCTGAGCACCAAACCAAAAAATTACCTTGACAATCTTTTTGAGGTGGGGAAGGGAAACAAGAAAAGTGAGTCTTATTAGGTGTGAAGGAGGCATTTCCCTTTTTCCTCTCACCTTGACCTCTGACCACCACCGCTGCCCAGACCAAGGTGTTCAGTCGGTCACTTATCAAATCAGAGGACACGGCATGCTCGTTAGGACACCAAGTTCACCAACAGCAGTGAGAACTTCCTTCTATCTCTTCCATGTTTATTTTAGTGTCACATGTATACCTTCGCTGATAAATCTGTTTTCATTCTTAGATTTCTCCAAAACCTGGCAGTAAATGTATCCCGCAAGTGTGGGGACATAGGAAACAAGGAACAACTTTGAACCTAGCCTGACACTTCTTTGGGGGTTGTATTAGTCAGGGACTTTCAGAATCTCTATTCAAGAACCCTTTTTTTTTTTTTATCACCCAGAAGAGTCAAATGTAAACTAGGTTAAGTTTTAATTAAAAAGTTGAAGAAACTATTAAGGCAGAAAATAATTCTCTATACAGGTATAAATATTCAGATGAACCAGATTGAAAATATGCTTGGTAGATAACACATTTTCCACTGTCTTATATTTTCAAGGGAGGATACTTTCTCTTGAAATAGAGATCTCTTCAAGTTCACAGACACCACGTAGTGCTTCTGAGCTTATGCAGTTATTCCAAAAATAATTTATTTCTGAGAATATAAATAATAAACACTCACTGTAAAAGGTTTGTAAGATATAAAACCCTATACAAGAGAAAATAAAATCCTCTAGTAAACCTCTAGTCAGTGATGACATGGTTAACAGTTTGGTATTTTCTTCTATACTTTTCTATGCATATATATATATATATATATTTTTAACGTGGTCAAGGTTAGATTATACATGATGTAACAGGCAATTATACTTTGCGAGTATTAAACCAGTGCTTTTTTATTTCTCCCTTTTTTCCCCTTGCACCCTTTCAAAGTGCAAGGCGGACTCATGAAGCTTCTTGCTCCAGCGAGAAAAGGGATGGTAATGCCTAGAGACTCTTTTCCCCTTCTCGGTGTGTTCTAACTACCATCCAATCAAGTGCTTAGACCAGAATCCTTGGAGTCAGTCTTGGTCCCTTTCCCCTCATACTCCACAACCATTTAATCGACACATTCTATTGGCTCTACCTTCAAAGTATACCCCCATTCTGACACTTGTAACCTTCACTTATATTATCCTAGGCCAAGCCACAGTCATCTCTTGCCTGGACTAACAACCACCTCTACCATTGTTGGGAGTCGATTACCTCTCACCACCCTACCCAACAGAGAGACAGAGACACCAAGGATGCAAACACACAAGAGGAGTTTATTTTCTGGCTAGCCAGGGTCCAAGCCTTGAACACCAACACAGTGGCCACTCTGGTAGGCAAGGACCCCGACCGGGGTTGCAGCCTGCCTTTTATCCCTATGGTGCATAGGCTATGCAGTGGCTGATCACGCGTGGATCATGCATTGAACTTTAACATGATTGGTTGGCTGGTAGCCCCACTATACAGGGGTTCGAACAATGTAAAGTTGGCGCAAACAAGCAAGCAAGCAACAGTTTCCATGGTGAGCACGCAACAGTTTCCAGAAGCCGGATGTTGGTTCCGGCTTCACTGGGGGTGTGGGCCTTGCAGGTGTGCAATGTCTCGACCCCTCACACCATTTTCTTGCTTCCACTCTTTCTTCCCTATTGTCAATTTCTCACTCTGCAGTCAGATGGGTATTTTAAAAGCAATAGTTAGCTTCTATCACAACCTTGCTCAAGACTTCCAAATGGGTCCCATCATCCTCTGAATAAAATCCTAACCATGTTGTATTATAATAGTTCTCCAACATTTTGGTTTCAAGACCCCTTTTCACTCTTAAAAATTATTGAGGGCACCAAAGAGCTTTTATTTCTGTGGATTTTATTTAGCAATTTATAGTGTATTAAAAATTACAATAGTATTTTAAAATATATGTTTATTAAATAATTTTAAAACAATTTAAAAATCCATATGAGAACATAAATAATATATTTTATGGATAATAAAATGTAATATAATAATACATTTTAGAATATATTTTATGAAAAATAGATGTTTATATAGCTAGTTATATAGCTAGTTATTAGTTATATAGTTATCAGTCTGGCCAAAGTCAAAGTGAAGAAGAAAATCCTACAAGCTATGAGATGAAAGCATCAAGTAACTTACAATGGAAAACTTATCAGACTAATGGCAGACTTCTCAGCAGAAACCTTATTAGCCAGAAAGGATTGGGATCCCATTTTTACTTTTTTTAAACAGAATAAGTGCCAGATAAGAATTTTGTATCCTGCAATACTAAGTTTCATAAATAAAGAAGAAATAAAGTCTTTCCCAGACAAGCAAACACTAAGAGAATTTGTCACCATAAGATCTCCCCTACAAGAAATGCTTAAAAGTACTCTATATATGGAACAGAAAAATTGATACCCACCAGTTGAAAACACCTGAAAGTTAAACCTCACAGTTCTTATAAAACAGTAACACAAGGGAGAAAACAAAGCAACTAGGTAACAATCAACTTGATGGCCAGAACAGTATCTTATGTATCAATACCAACATTGAAAGTAAAGTCTTTTTTTTTGAGACAGAGTCTCACTTTGTTGCCCAGGCTAGAGTGAGTGCCGTGGAGTCAGCCTAGCTCACAGCAACCTGCCTCAGCCTCCCGAGTAGCTGGGACTACAGGCATGCGCCACCATGCCTGGCTAATGTTTTTTCTATATATATTAGTTGGCCAATTAATTTCTTTCTATTTATAGTAGAAATGGGGTTTCGCTCTTGCTCAGGCTGGTTTAGAACTCCTGACCTTGAGCAATCCACCCAACTCAGCCTCCCAGAGTGCTAGGATTACAGGCGTGAGCCACCGCGCCCCTGGTCTGAATGTAAAGTCTTAATGCCCTACTTAAAAGATATATTAATAGATGGCTGAAGGATTTAAAAACCGTCATAATTAAATATAGCTGTCTATCTC